AATAAATAAATTATAGTCTGAGTTGACTGTGAAGTGACTGAATGTTATGAGAGTATGCGAGGAGTTTATATAATAGCATCAAATCCTGAAACTAATCAATTAGTTGATCGATAAGTGGTAAGACTTTAACAAACAATTTGCGATAATTACCCTTAAAAGGGTACTAAAAAGGTTTTTATCATAAACCACTCTTACCTTGAATTTAAAGACAATTCAGTTGTACTAACTATTATCAGAGTTTTTTTATAAACAAACTTTGGATTATGTTGTATTGAATTGCATTAATAATTGTAATTGAAAAATATATGTCTCATTAAATTTTTTCAAAAGGTATTATTTTCACATATATTTTAGCGATTAGATACCAATTTCTCGGTATTCAATCATTAAATAGAAAATAATTGCTACCTGGTAAACTTTATAAAACAAAAAATTAGCTGTAAAATTGTTATCAATTATAAGATATTACAAATTAAAAGCTATTTTTAATCCCAAAACATGTCATTTACTATAATCTTACGGATAGAGATGTATTATATTAATAGTGCAATTAGTTTAAATTGTGTATTGTACACTGATCATATCATATTACTGTTAGCTAATCATTAAGTGTTTTTATAACTCTTTAAGCACATACCAGGATCACTTGGCTACTTGACAATTAAATAACCCAGACAATAAGGCAGGGATCACCCATACTCAATCTGATATAATTATACAGTATCTCATATACGGATGTATTGGGAAAGTATCCTTGTATATTTAATTCAGTGTTTCTATTAAGGATTAATTATAACTAACGTTACAACAAGTTATGAGATTTTGAAATAATTGTTTGTTTTATTAGACTAAAGTTTCCACAGAATTTGTTACACAAACATGAATTTTAACTTATTTTATCAGGCTTACATTAGTAATAAGTGTGGATTAATCTATTAGGAAATCTCTATTTATTTGTTTAATATTTGTTGCAAAATAAAATTGTTTTCATGAAACACAGATATGTTATAAATTGTTATTTAAAATTAAATAATAAATTAGCAATTTAATATGTTAACAATTATAAATAAATATTTTTATTTTACTAATAATTCGTAATGTATAAAATAATTTAGCAATCATAAATAAATTGTATTTATTATAAATAGTTTTAAAAATTATAGTACAGTGAATGTTATCTAGCTAGTGTAAAAAATAGAGATACAGTACATAAAATTTTCCAGGATAATTGTATACATAATTATTTTAATTTGACTAGTTGTTTACTCAAATAAGTATAGTACTAAAACCTGATAAATAATTTTACAATAATTAAAAATACAAATATTAAATAATTTATTAATGCTTATTTTAAAAGTTTTATTGGAAATATGAATTAATAATATTCATTGGAAATTATAAAACATGCTTGATTGTATTAGATTATACTATAAAAGTGATAATAAAATTGAAAATAATATTAAAATCCCAACCTAATTACTTTACTGTAATAAGTTTTTATTAAAGTTATGGCAAAAGTCTTGCAAATGAGAAAAATAATTAAATTTTTACTTTTGAGTCATTTATTGGTAAGATTTAAAAAAATTACAATAAATTAGACACACTACTATCGCTATTGTCTACACAATAATTATTTATCGGGTATATCACCATGCATTTAATGTACTGTATATACAGTAGCTAAAATTATACAGAAGTTATAGAAACTATTTGTAAATAAATAAATTATACAGGAATTGAACTATATTTATTTGTTTCATTGATTAATAATCAGTGATTGAATAATGAGAAAACAAGTGATACAGAAAACTGCATACAATGTTAAGCACTGTATTAATATTGTATTGCAAATTGAAGTTCAATAAAACTGTACGCAAAGTCTCGCTCGCGTAACAAAACGCGTGCATTTGAATAGCATTTGAAAAAGTGTTGCAAAAAAAGTTTTCTAACGTTTACTGTTAATCCCAGATTTGATTATACGTTACGCTTATCCACTGATCGTAATCTTATTAACGGATTAAAACTGTTCATCTCATATCCATTACCACTGATAAACACCTTTTCATACCTCACTCTAGTGTTCAAACTTTTCAAGTAATAGTTTTTGTCGTTGTATTGAAACTTTCAATTTGTTTCATACCTGAGTAAACTGCTCTGGAGCTCCAGCGGTTACCTACTCAGGTAACTATTCTCAACACTGCTGTCCTCAGACAGACACTCCAGTGGTGGCCTACTGTGACATCACCAACTGTTACTCACGACACCACGTGTCGCACAGACAGTGCTGTTCAACAAAACTATTGATTTGAGCTCTGATTTTGAAGACGACGCCACCACTGATATGTGAGGTCACCACCGGATGACACTGTAGTGGTTGACAATGAGTGGACACCACGTGTCGCACAGACAGTGCTGTTCAACAAAACTATTGATTTGAGCTCTGATTTTGAAGACGACGCCACCACTGATCCCATCACTGGTGTAGACACTGACAACACCACCACCACAGCCACCACTGATATATCGGTCAATACGATGGCCGCCAGAGATCCGTTGGAAGACATTAAAAGCTCAGTCGATGGGCAACTCATGACTGATGATGAAGACACCGATGAAGACGTCAGCACTGGTTCCCAAAGCCCTGAATTGTCACCTATTCTTACCTCCAGATTAAGAGCTCGTAAGACAGTGTTGGACGACACTATGGAGTCTTCGGGGACCAGCTCTTCGCAATCGACGCCATTAAACTATAGTAACAATCCATTGGATCCATTGAGTCCATTGGACAGCAATTCAAAGCATTCAATGTCTGCGAAGGACACGAGCGGTGCACTCGATCTCAACTTATCATGTCTTCAGCTCAATGATAGCGGCGACAGAGATCTCGGAGCCATCGGTGGTGTCAATGGCGACGATACCGACGATGAATTGCCGCCAATTCGTACCTCCAGAGCCCGCAACACAATACTAGATGACACCATTGAGTCGTTGAATACTAGTTCCTCGCCATTAAGCGATGGTAACAACGAATTGATGTCCGCGAAAGACTCGAGTGATGGACACTATCACGACTTATCTGGTGCTCACATCAACGAAAGCGTCGACAGAGATCTGGTGATAGTCCCCGAAGTGTTGAACTTTGACTCTATTGGATCAGGTGCTGAAGAATCAGATTCTGGACCAGAAATAGAAGAGATTCCCGAACCGAGTGTTAAACCGAAACACAACCCATTGTTTCGGAGGGATATCCCCGACATCTTAGACATGGATGACTTGGACTCCAAGACACGGAAGGCTAACGAACGAGAAGACCGTCGGATTGCGGACCAGAAGCAGAGACTCAAAGAGTTTCGCAATAATCAGAGGTTTTTATCTTAAGTTTTCTTTGTCTTAAGTTTTTAGCCTTTTGTTTAATTCATTGAAAGGTATGTCGAGCTATCGGATGACGAGGACAGGGATGAGGACAATGTGGGCGCCGTTCAGTCGTTGAGCCGTCGTTTGCCACAAGTGGTAGACATCGCCAGCGATAGCGATGCTGAAGAGTCTGCACCACCGGTTAGGTCTACCCCTACGACTAGTTTCGAGGACTTTGAAGTAAACTTCGATACGTATGGCGTCCACACAGACGACGCGTATAATATAAAGGACGCGAGGGGTCGAGTGCTTGTCAATGTGGGACATCCCGGCGCTGAGCCCGACCTCTTCTTATCTGAACACATGGCACGTCGAGTGAAAGCCCACCAAATCGGAGGAATACGCTTCATATACGATAATATCGTCGATTCCATTGAGAAGTTCCGGACGACCAGGAAAGGGGGCTTCGGTTGTATTCTCTCACACGCTATGGGTTTGGGAAAGACCTTTCAGGTATGTGTTGACATCCCTTTCATCTCTATTAGTCTTTAAATGTTTATCTTTCAGGTGATAGCCTTCACAGACGTATTCCTGAAGGCTTTTGAAGCTAAAAGACATCGATATAAGCAGGTGTTGTGTGTCGTTCCCATCAATACACTGCAGAACTGGGTGTCGGAGTTTGAGAACTGGTCGCCGCCACGGGATCGGGACTATGAGGTCTACTCAATGGACTCAACCCTTCCTCTGATCCGGAGATCGGAAAAGGTGTTGAAATGGCATAAAAGTGGCGGAGTTTTGCTGTTGGGATACGAGATGTTCAGAGGACTCATCAAAAGCGACGATAAGAAATATGCGGCCAAACAGTGGCGAGACTACGATCGCGAGGAACTGGAGGAAAGGGATGCAAAGGTGAGGCGAGCTCTGGTAGACCCGGGACCAGATGTCGTGGTTTGCGATGAGGGCCATAGGATTAAGAATCCAAACGCCGCCATTTCCATAGCCCTGAAGCAGATTAAGACTCGACGCCGTGTGATACTCACGGGAACACCACTTCAAAACAATCTGATGGAGTACTGGTGTATGTGTGACTTCGTGCGGCCCTACCATCTCGGAACTCAGGGAGAGTTCAAGAATATGTTTGAAAAGCCCATAACCAATGGCCAGTGCGTCGACTCCAATGAGTTGGATGTGCTGTTGATGAAGAAGAGGGCGTTTGTATTACACCAGAAGGTCAAGGGTTTCGTTCAACGGTTAGTCGCACCGGTAGTTGTGATTATGTTTCCACTATTAATGCTTTTTGTTTTAATTTATAGCCGAAGTCATGAAGTACTGAAGACAACGCTTCCAGTGAAGCGCGAGTTTGTGTTGATGTGTCGCATGACAAACATGCAGAAGCGACTGATGCAGGCGTTGATCGATAAGGCCATCGAAGATCCCGAAGCTATCGGTCGAGTAAAGGGAAAACTCTCAGTACTGACCCTATTCTCCATCTGTACGAAGATCTGGAACCATCCGGATATCATCCATGAGGTCATCGATAGGGGATTAGAGGCTCAGCGCCAGGATCTGGAAATATATGGTCCGACTGACGGCCCACTGTTTGATCCAAACGGGAAGGCATTCACGGACTGGTCCTTCGCTGCCGATGTCATCCTCAACTACACCACTCGAGTCATCGGAAACTCTAATAAAATGGTTGTATTGTTTGAGATAATCGACGAGTGCCTGAAGATTGGGGACAGACTACTAGTCTTCAGTCAATCGCTGTTTACTCTTGACTTAATCGAAGAACTCCTGAAAATGAAAAAGGAGTGGCGTTTAGGCCGTGATTACTATCGACTCGACGGCTCAACACCTCCTCAGGAAAGAGAGAGATATATCAACCGATTCAATGGCACCACAAGAGCTCACCTGTTCCTCATATCAACTAAAGCCGGTAGTCTTGGAATCAACTTAATTGGCGCCAATCGTATCGTTGTTATGGACGCCAATTGGAACCCCAGTTGGGACGCACAGGCGGCCTGTCGTGTCTACCGCTATGGACAGGTATGTCATTGAATAACTTATTGAATGAATAATTAGTTTTTGAATTGAAATGTTTGTCAATTCTTCAGCCAAAGGAGACATTCATATACCGCTTAGTCTGCGATCAAACACTGGAAGAGAAGATCTCGAAACGACAGTTTCTGAAGCACGGTATGGCTAAGCGTGTAGTGGACGGACAGACCATTGACCCGACGTTCTCGTGGAATGAGATCACATCGCTGTTGGAAGACTTGCAACGTATTGATGACATACCAGAGGTTGACTTCGATGGCCACGAGTTGGCCGATCTGGAGGACTCACTCATCCAAAAGGTGTGTCGAAGTGTCGGACACGGGTTGACACGAATGCCCTTCGAGTACGACTCGCTTCTCATGGATAAGACGGACAAGAAGTTGAATGATAACGAGAGGGCGCAGGCACTGGAAGACTATAATCACACCGTTAGACTCACCAAGTTTTTAGCACCGAAGCCCACTAACATTACCCTGTAGGCGGTGTCTGTCATCCATACTGTCCCACCATTTAATTATTTTCATAATCCATTTAAATATACCAATAGTTATATAATTTTAAAGTATAATACAATAGTTTTAATCCTTTTTATTGCATTCTCTCTTATTTTTCTTATAATTATACAGTAATTAATTAGTTTACAAACAATTTATTGTATAATTTGTATTTGAAAATAAAATTCATTAGATATTTGAGTATTCATTGAATTGTTTTTTAATAGAGATTTTGTGTTAAGTTTTTGTATTCAATGATAAGACTGTAAACTCAACGCTTTGGGAGAGGTTTGCAAAAAAGTTTATCATTTCATTAATTTTTAGCACATTTTACTCGTAATTGTGAATTGATTTGTGTTTTAATTGGATTAAATTCCACTCAAAATGGGTGACAATACAGACATTAATTTAATTAGAAGTCAAATGAAGTTAAAACTGAATTTTTTGTCAAATCTAAAGGCTTTTGATAACAATTTGTGTGAAAGAGTCACTCAATTGAATGCAAACTATGTTTCACTAAATAGTCATGAATTGAATGACAAATCAATTGATTTCGCAAATTATCTCAATTTGTTGAGAATTAATGCCAATTATAACCCATTGAGTGGTGAACCCGACGAGCACCTGGAGGTCCAGGAAGTGGATGGAGTGGTCGACGAGAACATCGGTGAACCCGAAGTACATGTGGTGTCAGAGTAGACACAAGTAGTGCAGACTTTGGACACAGAGGTCGACGACAGAGACAGAGATGAGATGAAAGGATCGGAAGAGATGTCGGAAGCAGAAGAGGGCGGAGAGAGTGGTGTCGGAGACCAACACAAAGACACTCCAGAAGTGACAGAAGGAGGCGATGAGAGGGAAGGCAGTGATGATTGCGAATCAAATGAAGGTAATGGTGCCCTTAATTCAGGTGATCAACCATTTGTGTTTTTTTGGCCCAATTGTGGCAAACGATTCACTTATAAATCACATCTCAATCGACACAAGAGTGCCGTCCATTTTTGGAGATTCATCTGTGATGTCGAGGGTTGTGGTCAACGGTTTTCTCTGAAGGCTAATCTCAATCGACACAAAAGCATACATTCAAGAAGAAACCTTTCAAATGCAATGAAATGGATTGCGGCAAATGTTTCGCGCAAAAAGTCGGGTTAAATCGACACAATATTGCCGTTCATTTGAATGAAAAGAGATTTAAATGCGATTATAAGGGATGTGAGACACAGTTTTCATTAAAACATAATCTAATTGCTCACAAACGGTCCACTCGGGAGAGAAGCCCTACGCTTGCGATGCCATGCATTGCGACAAACGATTCTCACAGAAATCAGCGCTAATTCAACACAAAAGTAGTATTCATATGAAACTCAAATTTGTTTGTAATGAAGTTAATTGCGGTAAAGAATTCTCCCAAAAATCACATCTCAATCGACACAAACGTATTCATATATGATGGCAGCGATTGTAGCAAAAGTTTTTACATGAAATCTAAAACTCAAATTTGTTTGTAATGAAGTTAATTGCGGTAAAGAATTCTCCCAAAAATCACATCTCAATCGACACAAACGTATTCATATATGATGGCAGCGATTGTAGCAAAAGTTTTTACATGAAATCTTATCAGGATAATCACAAACTCTTGCATTGAAAACCAATTTAAATAGCCATAAAATAGCGGTTCATTTGAAACTCAAACCATTCGCTTATATTGATGACAATTGCGGACAAAAATTCGCCACAAAGTCATCACTCGTTAAACACAAACGCATTCATATGAGAGAGAAGGCATAAGTTTGCGAACACAACGATTGCGGCAAAAGTTTCACTAATACATCAAATCTTAATCAACACAAACGACTAACACATTTGAGAGACAATTAATTAATAATTACCGTAACTTCACATCGAAAACTAGTTACTAATAATTAGTGTGTTATGTATAACTCAATAATGTTTCAAATTCTATATAATCTCTTGAATAACTCCCAAATTGTATAATGAATTGTTTTAAAGCATTGTTTAACTTTCGGTATAATTATTATAAAATAAATATAGTATTTCACTTTTCTAAATACTTTATTTAGTACTTCAGAAAGCACTAGATATCGTAATATAAGTAGTCATTAGTTATTATCACTACAAAATAGTTTCCCTCAATAAACAAAACAAAAAAGTATTTCAATATTACATGCAATTCAGTGATAACTCGTCAATGAATTGTATTTCATAACTGATTTACTCAATAAATGTATAATTACTGTTAGTTTTGATCCAAAGGCAATACAATATGGATTATATGGATGAAAGTCACCCATTGATTGGAGTGGAAGACAATTGTTCAGAGTATGACAGCATTGAACAGGTAGTGTATTTATCGTCCAGTATATTCACTAAATCTGATGATTAGATTACATTGTGTTATAAAATATCATATAAATACAATTGTTTTTGTTTGCTAATATAATTAGCACACTATAACTGTTAAACAATATTGTGCCAGTTTTGTGTTTTTATAAAAGTTATCTAAGAGTACTAGCTAGATTTTTATAAGCTAATTATAGATAATTTTTATAATTATATGATATGATTCATAATGTTTAAAATTCAATTTGCATCCTAGTGATTATTTAATGATTTATAAAGTAGTGTAGTACTGTATTATTGTGAAACTGATTACAGTGGAAATTGATATCTAATTTCTTGTGACAAATCAGTTAACACTAGAATTGGACAGAAGTAGTAATAACAGCAACGGATCCAACAATAATGATAGACGGAGTCAGTCGTCCGTCTCGCAGTCAATGGCCATCTCATGGCATAACATACGGGTGTCGAGTAGGCCGTCCAACATGTTTAAACGCTTCCGTAAATCTAGTACTGAACCCACAGAGATCCTCAAGAATGGTATGTCATTACAAATGATTAGAACTTATGATATAAACAATGTTTTAATGATTAGTTTCGGGTGAAGTGAGTGCCGGCCAACTATTAGCTATAATGGGTTCGAGGTATGACTGTATTTGGGAACTACATGTGATTTTTGTGATTAACTATTTAAATATTCTGTGAATTCTTGTATGGATTCAGTGGCGCCGGAAAGACAACTCTATTGAATGTATTGACGGCAAGGAATCTGTCGAAACTGGTTGTCTGTGGGGATGTCCTATTGAATGGAGAGGTAGTCGATGCAAATACCATAACCTCTGTGTCGGCGTATGTCCAGCAACAGGACCTATTTGTACCCGTACTCACCGTTAGGGAACACCTAATATTTCATGTAATTATTACTCATTTGAATTTAAATTTAATTTTAATATTAATTTTGATCATAATTACAGTCATTATTACGAATGGATCCTAATTTACCCCAAAAAGAGAGAACAGATCGCGTGAATGAAGTGATTCTTAGGGTATAGTAATTTACAAATACATACCGTTCCTCATGTTTATTAACGGATAATTATTTTATGATTGAAATTGAAGTTTAGTTTAACGAAGTGTGCGGGCACTCGGATCGGTAGCAGTACTACATTTAAGGGCATATCTGGCGGTGAATCCAAACGACTGGCCTTTGCATCCGAGGTATTCATACATTTGCTGTGAAATTCTGTTCACTATATTCTGTTTTACAGTATTTGACGGATCCGTCGATTATGTTTTGGTGAGTGCGAGGGAACGGTAGCATAACTTAAGAGATTATATAAGTGTTAATTAAAACATTTCATTCAATTTATATGTATTAGTGATGAGCCGACCAGTGGTTTGGACTCATTTATGGCCCAAAGCATAGTCCAAGAGTTGAAGTCTATGGCATCGGAGGGTCGCACCGTTATCTGTACTATACATCAGCCCTCGTCTCAAGTGTTTGAACTTTTTGAACACTTATTACTATTAGCCGATGGAAGGGTAGCTTTCATGGGAAAGACTGGTAACTAAATTCACATTAATTTAAATACAATTTATTTGAAATTTTAAATCATACGACAGATGAGGCAATGGATTACTTCTCATCACTTGGATATGTAATGCAAAAAAATTAATGATTTTTCGATTGAATTTAAATTATTTTTTATTCTGAAATACTTTTAACAGCAATGTCCACCTAATTTCAACCCTGCTGACTTCTATATAGAACAATTAGGTGATAATTACTACCATTAATGATTTACATACCATGCTTATAAGTTATAACAAATATAATCCAAATATACTGTAGCTATAATTCCCGGGCAAGAAATTATATGCAAAAACAATATCAAGGTAAATTTATTCAAATAATCATTATTAGTACAGTATTAATAATTACAATTTTGTGTGTTTTGTATGATTTAAATGATAGCATATATGCGACAGATTTGCTAATAAATTGTCGGATACTTTGTCGGACACCACGGATATGGTGAGCGCCGCCCTATTCATGAACTCATTCAGTGTATTTGAACGCAAATCCGCACTAAACGGACACAAATACCGGACATCCATTTGGCGACAATTGTGGACATTGTTATGGCGATCAAAAAAGTTCATTTTAAGAGACACCGAGTTTAGGTGGATGTTTGTGATCGTGGTATTTATTATTGATTAGTTTTATTATTGTTTTTAATTTACAAATACAATTATTGATAACTAATTTACTGATTATTTCATACCATAAGCCAATTGCAATATTCTTGGGATCAGTCTATTGGAAACAACAGGTGAACCAAAAATCCATAAGAAATATAAACGCGGCACTTTTTGTTTTGGTTATGAATATGACTATTCAGAGCGCTATGGCTGTCATTAATGTAAGAATTACCTTGTTCATTATTTGTGATATGTATGATATTAAATGGGAATATTCTGTAGACATTCTGTGCGGAACAGCCATTATTTCTGAGGGAACACCACAACGGCATGTATAGAGTGGGCGTGTATTTCATATCTAAAAACTTGGCCGATGTATACATTTACAAAAAACAATTACCTTGGTTAGATTATTAATAATTGTATTCAATTTTCACAAATAGTTCCCAATATATGTGTTGCAATCCTTTCTATTTGTACTCATTTACTACCATATGGTGGGCCTTAACCCCCACTCCGACACCTTTTGGATGGCAGTATTCATCGGTATTCTCGTCACACAGTGTGCCGTCTCTTTCGGTACGAATTCATTGATTATTGATTTCAGATTACCTTTAATTTCACCAAAAAATCTGCTCAAAAACACTAACAAAATTGCAAAATACAAATAACAGGGTATCTGATGTCATGCCTGACCTCCACGGCCACTACGGCACTGAAACTAGGCCCACCACTACTTACCCCGGTCATACTGTTTGGTGGATACTTATTGAATACTGAGTACGAGTTAAAACACTGTTAAAAATTAATTATTTGTTAATTAAACCATATATTTGTGGTCAGTTCAACACCTGGATGGTTATCCTGGATGAAATACATTTCATGGTTTTACTACGGCTTCGAAGCGTTGGTCATCAATGAGTGGAAAGGCGTCAAAATAAGCGACTGTCGTCCCGTCAGTTGTAACGCCAACTCAATCCCTGATCCGTCGTGTATATCAAGCGGGGATCAAGTGATCAGTCAATTTGATTTTCATGCAAATAATATGATTAGGAACTTGTTCATTTTAGTGGTGTTGGCACTGGTGCTTAGGTTATGTGCGTTCACTGCTCTGTATTTGAGATCCCGACGCAGATAATAGTGATAATGAACTTAGAGTTTGAGATATTTTGTTAATTTCTATGCAAACCATTGTCTGTCTGTACTGTAAATGCATTTCACTATGTATTCAATGAATTGATATTCAAATAGTGTTTCAATAAATGAAGTATTAATTGATTAGAAATACTAAACAAAAGCATAAATCAAATGAAAGCCAATTGAACGCATCCTTTAAAATATTTTATTAGATATAAAATCTCTTGAATGGACCCAAACTTAGTGACTATTGACGGCGTGATCGGCGCCTCCTTCTGCGAGCCCTCCGACTCCTGAGCCGCCGACGCCTCAATCGCCTCAGCATTCGAAGGCGTTTCCTGTTGTAGTAAACCCTTTGTCGCCGGTTATGATTGGCGCGAAACTGCTGTTCATAAGGTGTCTGCGGTGGGGGCGGGGGTCGGATCCCAAGCAGCGCCCGACGACGCCTGGCATACAGTTCCCTACGCCGGAAGTCTCGCAGCTCTTTGCGCATCCGTTTTGTGCGCAACCGGTCTCTTGTGAGGCGACGGTTCCTGTCCGCCGAGACCGCTGTTTGGAGATATTTAAATCAAATATCAACAAATTTACTTTATTTATAAATCAACATAAATGCGACGATTTTGCAATATTTAATGAAATTATATCTTATAAACTAAAAACTGACCCAGGAACTGGTCTCATCAATTGATAACTAATAATCATTTCAACAATAACTGCATTCATAATAATAATAATAACAATAATTGTGCGAAAACTCCGGAATCCTATTCACTGGGAAATACTTATCCGACAAATACTTACTGTTATAATAATCATAGCAATAAGAGTTGGCAATGTTTAACTAAGTATTTTATACAATTTATTCTATCTACATTGTACATACTGTATTTAAATTTTGTTACACAATTTTTTGAATTACATTTCTAAATTTTTCTAATTATAATAGATTTATAACCAAGTAAAGTAAGTTTATGTTTTTGCTTTGTTAAAAATTGGAAAATATAAAATAATAAAAATAAAAATATAATTTTAATCAAAACATTTTTGTATCATCGTAATACTGTATAAGTATACTGTAAGAACGTGTACTTAATATTTAATACATATACAGTATTATATTGTATTAGGTAATAGAAAATCGTATAACTTGCTTATAAAAAATAGTTTTATTAATAGTTTGCGATAAAAAACAAAATCTTAAATACATGATACAGTAATATATTAACTCTTAAATAACAAATACACGTTTGTGTCTCGAGTTTATGGTTAAGTAAGCGTTTATGTGAGGGTTCGGTATGTCTTGTATCGACGCCTTTCCTCGTCATCGAAGTACCAAACAGTGACCGCAAACCGGAATCTGTTGGCCGGCATTACTTCGTGCAGATTGCGTCGGTCCGACCAAAACAGCACCAGTCGGTCGTACACCGGCTCCACGTCCACGAATGGGACGTTCATTTGCATTTGGGTCGGGTATACGCGTAGACAACCCCCGTCCCTCTTATCAGGGTATAAGATATTTATGACAATTAGTTTATATACTCATTTTAATTGAGATTTTTAGTTAATCACATGTTTAATAGGTATTGGGTTTTGTAAATATTTTTATACATTTTATTTTATATAAGATTATAATGTGATAATAAATGTCTGACTTGTGTGAGTAGTGTTACCAACATGTAAGTAAACATTTAATTTAAATTTTTAGATTTTGTATTAACTAAATTATAATATTAAATTGTAATCTACTTAATTTTGCATATTAACTTTTCCATAAATTTTTAGAGTTTTTGATTTTATTGTAGTATAAAATTATAATTAATATATCCTGCTTAAACATATGCCCTCTATTCAATGTCAAGTAAACAATTTAGATAATGTTTAATCTGAATACAGAATCGCTAACGTAAACGATATTTTAGAAAATATTTACGATTGAAGTCTAGTGTATAGTGTATTGCATAATGTATTTATAATGATACAAATGTTAGGTTTTATTTTGTTGGACATATGTTAAAAGTTATGGAAATATTATGTTTGTAAAACACAACTGAAATGACAACTCACCAAATACTGCCACTCCTTATTCACATAATATATACAAGTAATACATCGGCCGTCACCTGAATAGTTGTCCGCGTGTTTCATGAAACGAGATCCTATGCACGTATGCCATATAAAAACACATTAATTCAGTAAATTCATATGATCTTGCTAATTATCTCGTTAAATTTTATGCAAATATATTTTAAGACAAATATAATGAACTAATTTTTATGTGTAAAGAATTTTATGATTAATTTTTATATTCTCGTTACTCTCTATACTTATGTTTATGTGTTTAAACTTTTTCATAACAAAAATATAAATTCAATAATTTTTAATTTGATATAAAGATATCCCTGATAAAATATAAATTGTAAATATAAAAATATAAACATCTCGATAAAAATGTAAAGGATAATAATATTAATAATAGTGTTATGCTGACCATTGCCTGGAAAACACGCTAACATAGCTGGCGTACGACTAGTAATGTTATAGACACCCAGCAGTCCATTGTTATTCATTTTGTTACATTTGAATACAATTAAGTCAAATGTTTTGATGAGATCGTGAACGTGAGGGCAATTCACTTCATTCCCGGTTATCCAATATATGAGGTCTCCCCTGATATTCCTAATCGTATTGTTATTATACAGCATTCCGTACGTGAAGTCTGTCTGAAAAGTTTGCAAATTATCATTAATTTATTAGTATTTGTATTTATATTCTGTTCATTAATAAACAAGGGCAAACTAAATATGTATACTGTTATTATTTGATTCATTATAAGCAACATTCAATTTTGCACTACTTTCAAGTGAAATAAAATTCAGTTCTCTATTCAAGTTTGATTTAAAATCAAATTTTACCTGATTATAATTAATACCAAGATATATTTATTACATATTGAATTGTGCAAAAACTATCAAAAAATTTTTGATTTTGTGAATAAATGGATAAATGGTTTACCGAATCGTACAGATTGTAGACTTCATTGTGGATATGAGGGGCGACATCGTCCAAGAAGTTGTCGATAACACACATTCCCACACAATTCAACTTCTGGACCACTTCCTGACATATTTTGTCTAACTTTGACTGCGATATGAATTGACTCCGATTCACGTCATACTTCTCGCAAACACCTAATGCCGTGTTTTTCATCACAGAATTCATTGCATCGAAAGCCGTATTACTATTGCTATTATTATTATCACTAATAGTATTCGTATTGCTATTATTCGTATGCTTATTATGGTTACGATTTGTATGATTATTGTCCAGTTTGGGCGATGCATTAAACGTATTGACAATAGGAGGCTCAGGTAGTCTCACACCTCCTACTCCCAGTTCACCATCAGTTGATATGTCAATAATATCGGGCAATAAGTGGTCAAACTTTTTGTCGTACCCCTCCAAGTCAATCAGGTGGTCGATCACTGAATCACATAATAGCGACGTGGATGTCGTGGCTGAGTTGACGTGAGGGGTATCCCTACGGGTGGCCACCGGTGACGACATGTTGTCATACTTTTCCACAAAACAATTTGAAGCCATTGTTTTGGATACGAGTATTGAATGTCAATTGAAAGGACACTTTGTTTTTACGGCTTTTCGCTGTAATATATAAATACGTGTAATAAATAAATGTATGATTTTTACGTCAATCGCGAAAAATTGTTAACACACACAAAAAAAGTTGTTTTACTTTTTATTACATTTAGTTTAAAAATATACTATTATTACTGAGAAATACTCGCAATGCGAGAGAGAAATAGTGTATTTATTTTCCGTACTTTCATATTATTATTGACAATATATTCGCTGAGAAATTGTAATCACATTATAAGGCAGTCGTAATATCCAAGGATTTAGACACTGTTTGGAGAGTTTGGCACAAAAAAAGTTTTTGAAATTTTGAAGGACTGCTCGATAGCTGACGAGAGAGAGAGAGAGAGAATAAGAAATAAATATCTAGTATATATGCAATACTAAAAACTTTATATACACATTAAAGTGTGAGACAGAAATATTTAATTACTTTTTTCACAAACTCAATGTAAAGTACAGCTTATCAGCACATAGAATATATGCTAGTTACATACCCATATAAAAATATATTGGTGTATTACGTGAATTATACCACTTATACCACACATTAAAGTTTGTTTGCATTTCTAACTCTCGTTTTTTGCCACATAAATGTGTTTTTACACTAAATTTAGTATAATATTTTTATAAACAGTATATATAAATGTGTAATCAATTTATGGCCACAGATTTGCAGGGTTATTTGCGTTCATGAGCTAAAGGGTTGAGTATATGTTATATTTATTTCATGTATAAAAAATTGTACATTAAGTCTCGACTATAAAAATATACAAAATGATAAACAAATATTTTACCTAAAAGTCTAATTACTTATTTTAATTAAGGCATAAGTATTCATAAAGGCATGCACCAAATTCTTGAACACCCTTTTCCCATACCAACCCCTTTGCGTATATCATATCATGTATAAAGTAAAGCCGATGAACATTGCAATCAAAATCCAAATAAATTTATGTAAAATATTACAGAAAAAGTCTTTCACTCATCAAATGACTGTAGCTATCAATCATGAAATAATATTTTATATATTTATTTATCTGATTTGACTCGAAGTCAAGGATTGAGAGACACTTTTTTCATACATTTTTGAATATGTATTCCTTATTAATATATAAGTTTTTCAATACATTAGGTTTCGTGTGGTTTGCGAGCAAAATGTATACCAAAAAGTGAAATAAGAAATTAATTAATATTTATATCACATGTGATCTGAAGTGTATTCAAGAGTTATGGCACTTGTCATTAGGATCTCTCTCTCTCTCTCTCTCTCTCTCTCTCTCTCTCTGATTAAAATGTTTATTAATTATATAACTATTTATAGAAACATTTTCCACATAAATAATACACATTGAAAAGCAATGCACATATTTTCCAATAGTATCTTGATGAGTATATAATACAAGTTTTTCATATATTTCCAAACTTTAAGCTTATTTTTATAACACTTAAGAACTTTCACTTCAAGGACTCGAAAGTGCAGTAATCGCTCACAAAACAAAATTTATGACAATTTAGGACAATTTCAGTCACGAATACACACACTGTCTGTATGACAGGACCGGTAGTTTTATTCATATATGTATTGATTGGCGATTTTTTGGCACAGAATCTGTGGGTTTAATAAATTAATTACAAGTGATTTATATTCTATCACTGAATATTGAATATGAATTGAGAGTCACTATTAAAACATGTGTAAAACTTTTATGTATTTATCTAAATTAAAAATACATTATTTTAATGCACTTTAACCATGAAATAGATTTGATACTAGATTAAAGTCATTTATAGGAATAATTAATACCTTACAAAACCAAACCACATATTAACTAGAAATCAATGAAATAATTGTTAATTAAAACTTAACTTTTGGTACATACAAAGAATATTAATTCTCAGTTGTTTGATAATATTATATTTCAAGTTTAAGGATATACCATGTTTGAATTGTACAACTTCTATTGCCTTATTTTAAAAGTTTAAGTATTTAAAAATTAGCATTATTGTTCACGGTTTAGGGTTATGTTCAATATAAATATAGTAAAGTGTGTACAAGTGTTTTTGTGTTTTTTATTCAAATTCATTAGTAAAAGGCAATTCTGAAATAAATTTTCTTATAGAAACTAAGTGTTATAGTCTATAACTTATAGACTATAATTTTAGATTACAAAATTTTACAACTAAAATTAAAAGTTTGAGTAGCAAAATTCCTTAATAGTTAGTATAATAGTTAAAATAACGAATAGCAAAGTTTTAAAATATACAGATTATAAGACTACATTTCAAATTAAATATGATGTTTAGTTTAACTCGTACACGTATTAAACAAATAATAAAATATATCTGATAGAGCATTATATCTATGTACTTTTAATTTATACATTTGACTTAATGAGAGTATTTGAATAACAACTTATTTATAATAAGTCTTAATTAATGTTACATTAAATCATGCTATACCCGACTATACTACCATTTTATTTATACTTAATTAACAATAATAATATCGCCATAAATCCAGACATACTGGACAGTGGTGTGGACGCCATCGCATTTGATGTGACAAACTATGAGATGACCCTCACATTTAAGGTATTAATTGACGCCTAAATTGTATTGATTGACACAATGGTTGGCCCATTGAAAGGGCGAATGGTTTCGTGTGTACGACAAGAATCAGAATATCATAAGACTCGGCAAAATAGGATCAGTTTTTGGCAAACAATTTGCTTATGGCGTCGACGCGGCCGTTATTGTCAATGACCCCGATTCAAATGTCTTTCATCCCAGCGATTATCTCTATTTATTTAAGGGTATGATATTTGATTGATTGTCATTAACTATCTGTAGCCAGCTAATTTACTAATTTTCACTCTATTTGTCACGTATACTAGCATTTAATTCAGTGTAACTTTTTTTGTGATCTAATTTATTGTCTGATTGTTAAAACACTGGAAGAATGTTACCATCATTTCTGTGGTATTCACTTATGAGTTAACTGTGAATGATATATATCATTAATTTTCCCGGCTAGTGGCAACTAAGTACAGTATATAACAAATGATAATTTTGTTTGTGTTATCCATTTATATCTGTTTGTCGATTAACAAAGTTATGACTGAATTTAAATGCATAATAACTGGATTGGTAGGTGACATAGTCAGCCGGTATCTGATCTATTTGTTTGGCAGACATAAGTCTGAGCTAATGATCATAAGCGAGGCCAACGATTTGCACAAATTGTCTCAAATAAGCGACAAACTGCCCGACAGTATAGACACTGTCATCGCATACAATGGTTACGTCTATTTGTTTCGGAATAACACTCAGTATAAGCTTTATATGAAAAATCCGGTAATTATGAGACAATTATTTGATTAGTAAAATGTGCTTGTACAAATTGTACGGTTTATTATAGAAAACATTAGCCGGTAGTGAAGTTACGATTAAAACGGGACTGACCGGGATCATACCAGGTCCTAATTCAAGATCATTGTATGAGTATGGTAAATATTTGACTGAATCCCTGTCCATTGGTAGCTATATTATAAGGGCCCGGTATGCGTTTTATAAATTATTTGTGTTTTCATTAATTGCAGCCGGGCTTTTTATTAGTATGTTTTTATTAGGGTTTGTTATAAGATGTGTTATTCGGCAGGTTTACCACTAATTTATCAGGATTTACCTGGTGTCATCTATAATTTTGTAAATATTTAAGTCTTTCATTACTGTTGACATAATCATAGAAATATTTAGCAAAAATTAAATACTTTTTAATAAGTAATTAATTTATATATAGATTTAGGTTCAGTAAAGTTATACACTTTACTCTGTATTAAATTGATTTGCTTGTTAATTGGTATTTTGATTTTTGTTAATTTATTTATATTATCATGTTAACTAATTGTTTGTTGGACCTATTATTATATAATTTTGAATACTTTGTTGGTTTGTTGTAAAATATAGTTACTATTAATTAATCTACATTCAATTTAACACATTACATAAGTCTAATAATTTGTTGTAAATATTATTTATATATCCTATAATTTATTAATTATTTAAAAATTATTACTCAATTCTATAATAATGTTAGTTATATTGGGTATTATATTTTTTTGACTATATATCTCAAACAATTACAAAGTATAAGAGGTTTATAAAGATTTTTGTATCTCTTTTTTTATCAAAAAATGTTTTCAATCATATCATGTGATACATAGTAAACATAATAAAAATGAATTACTTTTTGAAAGTAAAGTTTACAAATTATAATAATTTAAAGTTTGAATTAAAAATATAAAGTATATATCCATATACTGTACAGTGTTATAGTAATACCAGTATAAATTCAAATAACTTACAAGTTATGTGACTATTGAGTATGGCACTTTATATATTCCGGATAAAGTTAATTTTTACAATTATTTTCTATATTAAACTAAGCATCAAAATCACAAACAAAATCATAAATCCTTTTGTTATTCACTTTCAAAACATTATAATAAAATAATATTACGACTAATAATAGTTTGTTTTTATTTGAAACTAATGGCAAGTATTTCAAAACACAAACCTTTATTTCACTGCAAGTTATTTCAATCTAAACTCTTTGCTACCAATCGTTATCAGAAAAACAAAGTATTTATTATTTAATACCGCTTTTATCAATGTGTCATATAATGTACCCCACCTACCCTTCCCTTATTATAAATAGGAGATTTATATGGCTGGGGTAGGGTATGTAAAATTACCATGTCATAATTGTTAACAGAATATTCTGCAAAACATTTTTAAATTTTATAAAATTTATTTAATATTCTTATTCATTATGAATTAAAATAAAAAAATTTTAATTTTTTTTATCACAAAATAAAGTTTTTTGGCGTCTATGCTGTGTTCAAATACCGGTGTTATCTAAATACAAATGTGCTTATAAGGTGAGGGGAACTGGAGATAAGGCATGAAAGAAGTTGGTGTTATTGAAACAATTCATAACATTATAAAACCTATGGTTTTATGAATCTGTGTGTGAAATGATAATACGGATTCAAAAGTACAGTGCTGTTGAAAATATAAAGTTACTTGCACTTATATTGCACTAATAATTAAGGCTATAATTTGACAATTTTGCCACAAAACGAGACAAATATTTATAGTTAAATGTCAAATCATATCTTATTATATAATCCATAGGATTTGTGAATTTCAAATGGGGTTCTGACAAATAAGCTCAGGACAAGACTTGTGAGGGGGAAAGGCGTCTAAAAGGTGCGCACATTATATAAGATGTGAACAATTTATCAGTTATCTACAATATTTATAGTACGGTACACAAGTAACTCAACAATGTACATTTAGTACAGCGATCACTACTGGAAACCATTGAAATAGACAAATGTTTGCTATTGTATATTATGTGTGATTTTCACATTTAAGATTACATTTGAAATGAAATCTTATAACAGAATTTCAACACAAATGCAATAAAAAGTTTTATTATAATACTATACCTGCATTTTGGTGATAAGTATACTATTATTTAAATATTGTTCAATTATTCTGCAGTAAATAATAAAAGTTGTTTAAAAATATTTGTCAGAGTTTTTGATAATAAACATTGATTACATATAATTAATAAAAATTGTTGAATATTGTTTAAAAGTTATCATTTTGAATTTCATAATTCATTCAATTGCAGAATTATTAAATTTATAGTCTTAAGTAGTTGTATTAATCTTAAAATGTCGTTGAATAAATTAAGTTGTTATGGTATAATTATTATTAACAAAATTAAAACTATCCTGAAATAAATAAATTAATATTAACCAATCAATAAAGTTAATCATTAAAAAATGATCAATTATGTAATTATTCTAATTGTATAGAAAATTTGTAATGTATTAATAATTTATAATTAATTCAAATAATTTAATTTATTTATAATTCTCATGGTTAGGTTAGGTTACTTTTAAAATATAAATTTTTATAAACCATACTTATTATTAATAATTTGTTAAATTTTAAAATAAAAATTTAAGAAAATCTACTGATTCTCATAATATTTAATGAAAATACTTTTAATTTACCAAATGATTAACAATTTATATACTTTGCAAATGACAACCATTTACGGCAACAAAAAGATTTACAATTCCAGGAAAAGCACACTTAATATCATAATATAATTTTGATAACAAAAAGCAGCTCTTAATGAGTAATTAGTTAAATATAATAAGAGATATTAAACTTAGAAATGAAATTAAGAGCAAATATTTAATGAATGACATCATTGGGAAGATCCCCTCCCGGATTTGATGGCTAATTGTGTGGACAGGTAGTCATAAAACAATGAAAAAATCAAGTAAACAATTTTTTGTGGTAAACAACAGTAAAAGTAAATGTATATTTCCATCAAAATTGTAATAATTATCTCAACTAATCATCTGAGTTGACGTATATTTATATCAGGAATATTCCGCATCTATATAACAAGAATCATAAATTGTATTATGAATTCTCGTTATTATTAATTTCGAAATTTTATTTAGGATACTTTTATTGACCCTGCCTAGACAATTTGTCGCTGATAACAAATTTCATAGGATTTGCACACAAGTTAGAAAAATCCCATATAAGTTATAACATAACTTTAATAAAAGTCCTAATGTTGTATAATCTTATTGTTCATTTATATCAAAAATATCCCAGTACTGTATAACAAGAATCATAAAATAATGAATATTCCTTTATGATAAATACATTATAATTAATAATTTATTTTAAATCATTAAATTACATACTTGAACATCAATATAGTACTTTTTAAATTGCTAATTGCCAAAAATTAAAATAATAAATTCTGTGAATAGTGTACGAGTATAGTCAACTTTAAGCTTGCACTATAATCAGAAATATCAAATACCGTGAAAAATAAATAACAATTAAACATTTACGACTTTATTTATTATTATCTTACAGTTAACTAATGGTTTTATGGCATTAGAAACAAATTAATCGCTAATTTATTGCTCGAAATCAAAAGTATATAAACTCTCAACAAATTCACACAAAATAACATAAATTAATAACTTGTGAAA